ACAAATCGAGTATATGATTTTACTCATTCTCTATACCCCCCCCCCCCCCTTCCTCCCCTCGTCCTTCTGTGATGAGTAGTGAGTAGCCCTTGAAACCGATAAAAAAGGACCCCCATAAATGAATACATTTATATATCTGAAGCAACCTGCCCCTAAATCCAGTGTTAACGCCACTTCAGTCAAATGTTTCAGAAATAAACCTTGAATTCACTTTTACTTAGTCAGCCTGTTATTTTTACAATTTTAATTGCACTTTATTGCATTTAATGACGATATACTGTCCAGTAGAACAGTCCTGTTGCACATTTAAAGGAGAAAACAAGCAACTATCACAGTGCCTTGTCAGAAAAGTCACAAAAATTTCACACAAAATGTAAGAACCCGATTTAATAAGCCACCAGCACCAAAAACCCTTTGTAACATCATCCAAAGCTGATATCCATTAGACCAACGGCTCCATAACACAAGCAAATAACGAAAACTCTACAATAACTATATTAAAGGAAGCAACAGTGGAGCATATGTTGTTGGATAATGCAATAACCTGAAATAAGTTGAATATCAAAGAAATGGCAAGTGAATGTGAGAGGAATTACTTTATTATCTTCGTATACATTATTAAATTTTTTTTCTCTTCCTCTTCATCCATTCTGTATGCGTTTCTTTTCCTTTTCTTCCTCTTATGGATATTATTGGATTATATGCCTTCAGAAAATTCAGCATAATTGGAATTCGTATATGTATCTAAAAAGCACATGCAAAAAAAGGAAGATGAGATGAATAAAGAAAAGAAGAAATGAAATTATAAAAAAAAAGCAAAGAAAAAGTCAGCAACAGCAGCGAACTTCCTTTAGCTACATATGAGTAGCATATGAAAATTCTTTCTATTTTCCTTCTTTTTTTGTTGTTGGCTTTTTATTTAAAGTTAATTTTGCATGTGATGAAATTTCATCCAAATTACTTTATTCATTCATTTATTCAGTTAGTAAACTTACTCTCTGTATGCATGAACCTTCATTCATTCACTCACTAACTCAGTTATGTACTTTTTTTTATCGCATTCCTGTAAGGAAAATGAGATTTTAAGTTATACTTTTTTTTCTGGTTGGTTATACTGAATGGTTGTTTTTGTTGTGGGAAGATTTTATGAGTGACTGAACGACTGAATTGCAGAGGTAAAGCTGGTAACATTTTTAGGTGGTGGCTATTAGTTCTGATTTTTCTTGGGATGCTTCTCTGACTACAATTGTTTTGGGGATGTCTAAATTAATTTTTGTTTCAATCCTATGAACAAGTTTCAAGCTTGAGTGGTGTCTGCAGCTATAGATAAAATCATTGCAACACTTTAGGACAATAATGGTCAACCCTAAGCTTACACTAGTGTGCCAAAAAAAAATTCAGAACATTCCACGAACCGTTTGCCGTGTGCGTTTTTGTTCATAGCTTACTTAAGGTGTGCCATGGCACAGAAAAGGTTAGACACCACTGCTTTAGGATCGTCTTTGGATTCGTCCATGCTAATTAGAGGCTCAATTCCTCCTGACTAGGGTGACCATCTGCGTACTTTTACAACGGACAGTCCTGTATTTCAAAACCCTGTCGTGTATAAATTTTTAAATTTTGTTCATGGTCCTGTATTTTTTTCATGAAAATTTCCGTTAATTTTCGAATTTTACTCTGTGTCCTGTTTTTTTCGAAAAAATTTACCAAATGTCCTGTATTTTCATGAAAACTAGATGGTAACCTTACTCCTGACTAAGTTTCTGTTAAGGATGTGTTCATTAAAGTCAAACAGCACTAAGATAACACTATCTTGCATGATGTTAAAATAAAACTATGCAGGAGCTTGAATACTTAACTCCTAACCTAATTTTGCACACTATTCTCATTCTTATTAAGGTTAAGATTAGAGATTGGATACAGGTCACCTATCAAAGATCTGTTATATCTGTAGGCAGATTTGACAGATCTAAGCCTGTGACAGGCAAAAAAATATTGCCTGTTAACAGCCAGTGACAGGTGATAACCCGTGACAGAATGCAACTCTGGTTAAGATACATACTCCCCATATTAAGGTCTACTCAATGTTATGGTTTATTTCGTATGTCAAGAATTCTGATTTTTATGCAGAACAACCTCAAAACTATTACCATCAACCATCGAGAATTGCTTCATATTTTAACAAATTTTCAAAATAAAACTTTCATACTTTCCAGCCGCATACCAAAAAAATTTTTATCTTTTTTTCTCGTGATTAAAAAAAGTGAAAAATTAGAGCAAACGAAAAGAACAAACAAAAAGAGTACTAAAATGTTAAGCAAATGTTTACACAACTCATTCCATTGTCAGTTCTATCATTTTTTTATATGCTGAAAAACTTGAAACTGTCGGTCACTCGGTTATACATAGATGAAGTTAAAAAAAAAATTGAGAGATTTAATTTGCAGTGGCAAGAACCAGAACAGGAAAAAAAACAGTTTTTGAGGGCAACAAGGAGGAAAAAGTTTCATTAATGTCAGGGATCAGAATTGCTATCTGAATATAAAAAAGTTCCCATCTTGTTTGAGAAATTTTTTACACATTTCGATATGCAGACTGAATGAGATAAGAGATTTTATAAATTCTAAAAATACAGCCTTGTGGGATGCTGATGATATTTTGATTGTATAACTGAGTCTCTTAAGTTTTTATTGAATTAAATTTTATTTCTGGATTACTGGGAAATTTTGTGAATAGATTCTGATGTGTCGAGTCATATGAAGGCGAACTTGGTAATACGAGATTGATTCCTCAGTGACTGAGTGGTTAGAAAGCAAGCTCAAAATGTTTTGTTTTCTTTAGTGTTGTACGTGGGTTTGGTTCCCAGCAAATATAATTTAATTTTATTTAAAAATATTGAAGTAGTGCGGTATTACTGAAGAAAAAACTTTTGCCTATTCTGAACTCAGCTTGAATTCCAGAACATATGGTTCAAAAAAGGACAAGCGAAAAAATTTCCATGCTGAGTCATGAACCCAAGATCGCTGTGTGACTTTGCAATAGTTGGGTACCGAAGGACTAAACCATTCGATCACCGAGCCACTTCAGCTTCCCTTAATGGTTGCAGATGAGGCTTTGCTTCAACTGATAAAAGAATACCCTGCTTGTATCAGTTCCAGTGAATACTATTCCACAAAAACAGATTCAACGTTAGAAAAAATAATTCCATAACACCTCTTAAACTCAGACAATCGGAACAAACTACAAACCTTTGTAATCTTCAGTAATCTTCACAAAAATGTTCACAACTTTGGACATTATCACTTTCCAGATAAAGCTTTGCAAAAATTCTAAATATTAAATACTTGGAAACTTGCACGAAAATCCATAATCCTTGCTTTTATTTTCTAGTACTGATGAAATAGTGCATACTGCATACGTATACTCAACTATTTTAGCTCTAAAATCTAGAAAATAAATTCACAAATGTTCAATACATTTATTCTCACGTGCGGTGTATAGAAATTCCATTGAATAATCTTTTGCATACGTAAATGAAAAATAAAATAAAATGGAAGTTTATGTATCATAGCCTAAACATTTGAGTCTTTGTGACTTCAGACATGTGGAGACAGAGGCTACATATAGAGAAAGGGAGGTCAGCAAGAAAAAATTCCTGGAAATCTATTGTTTTTTTTAAAAAAAATGACCGTTAATTTTGAACGTCATAAATGAGCGACCCCTAAGTGTTGTTTCCTTTTGTGTCACTTGGGAACTAGATTAAAAATTCTACTTCTAAGAAAAAAAATTGAAATTCCTCTTAACCTAGAATTTTTCTGAAAACGTCGACTATTAGTAGAGTTAATGTCAAAGATGAAGCTAGTTTTTTCGAACTTAACGAAAATTTGTCAATGAACTAGCGATTTTAACCACAAAAACCCGCCTCTGGCATATCTCTTGTATGGATTCAATGATCCTTAATCTATTTTAGTTGGAATTACTAGCACAAGTCTTAAATATGACAGATTGACCACAGATTTCGCTTGTATTGTATTACGATTGATGTGCATAAGTGAATCTTGAATTAAAAATTCTACAATAATGTCTGTCTTATTGGCATTGCCAACTATACCCAATCACAGACATCTAGCTATCAACCCTACTTAAAACTACTCGTACAAAATTCACGGTTTTTATTTTCATTAACAATTCCCGTTAATTGAACGCATACCGCACATGTGAATATCCAACATCGACAACAAAAGCAAACTTAAACCGACATTCATCCGGTTTCCATTTCGCATATGCATATATATATTGTTTTGGTAGATGAGAAGCTTTAGCTATTATGAACATACGCACGAGGGAACAAAAATAAAGTTTTATATATTTTTTTATATAAAAACTATCCGGCTCATCGTCAGTTCTCGCACATCATTCTGAGAATGGCTAGAACAAGTGTAGTGAAGTATCCTGTACACATTAAAAAAAAAGTTTCGAGCCACAAAAAAAGCATCAGCAGCAACAGCACATTCGCATTTTCACGGCGATAAATTATTTATTAAAGTAAATGGACATGAAAGCCATTAAAAGTATTAAAGCGGTGTCCAAAAAAAATCCCCATTTTATGTGAAAGCTTTAATTGCATGTGAAAAATTTATTAACTCCATTAATTTTGAAATATTTTTTGTGTTCATTTCTCTCCTTACCCCATTTTTTCACCGCATATATGCTATAATCTTTCTCTTCTTTTCTTTTTTTTTTCATTTGCTGAATTTACTCATCCGTGTGTTGGTGCTGGGATATCAATCCTCCCTCATACCATACTCCGTCTATAAATGGCTATAACAACAATGATTATGATGATAATGTCCTACATTTTTATGTCATCTGAACTTTTGCCTCTATGGACTCCTCGACAATCTACACACTTTCGGTATGCTCATCTAATCATTTACTCTTCATTTATCTTAACAACAACAAATCTGTACCATTGACTGCTGACTGCAACATATCTATAGAAACGAATCATTTGACGACGTAAATACGAAACAGCGCACCGCAGTAATCGAGCGTAGGAATTGTAGATTTTTTTATTGCCATCAGATAAAATTTTATAGGACACACAAACACACACACACACACAAACACAAACACAAACACAAACGAGTGAATTAAATCGAAAGAGTCAGTGAAGAAAGCATAAGAAATTATTATCTAGAAAATGGCAGCAGTACAACGTAAACTTGTTCACAAACAATTTAATTCTCCGATTGCCCTTTACTCTGACAATAACGTGAAGGAGACTTTAGATAGAGAATTACGACAATTGGGCAATGGAGCTATCGGGTGAGTATCAATATTTTATATTTTCCCATTTCTGACACTCTTGTCGCATTTCTACTTAAAATGAGGATCTGTTCAGTCATATCTATTCGAGATATTTATGTTCTAACCCTACTCATGAACTCACTCCTCAAAATTGTGATATGTTCATGCTGTATTGTGTATGAATTCATATGAAAAGAATTAAACATATTTATGCGGAATTGTGGATGAAAAGAAAATATTTATTTGCAATTTTTTTGGGGGAGATAGAAAGGATTTAAGAGATTGATATGGTTTTTGGGGTTTGCTGAAGAGAATCAGAGACTGAATGGCATTTTAGACATTTTTATTTTGTTGAAATGTTTCTATGAATATTTTATGATATTTCTAGATATTTTTGAATTTTTCTCATAATTTACATTAAAGGAACTCTTTAAATACACTAGCTACACTAATGTCCCTGTTGAAAGTACAACCTAACATCCAAATAGATAATCAATATTAAAGTTTGTTCAGATATTGTTATGGTATAGAGCATATGAGAGCAACCTGTGTGTTGTTAAGGATTTTCACGTTCAAAAAAAGGCTCACTTATGTTTATCACAAATTTACAGACAAAAAACCATAAATTGCTTATATGCTCTATGGCAGTGATGTCCAACCTATGTGCCGCGACACACTTGTCAGAAAATTTTACGAATCTTAGGGGTCGTTCACTTCTGACGTCCGAATTTAACAGTTAAATTTTCAAAATAGAAAAATGGATTTCCAGGAATTTCATGTTTTTTTCTTGAACTGCCCCTTATGCCGTGTTCAATTTTGGTCATGGCTTACCAATAAGGTGTGCCATGATACAAAAAAGGTTGGACACCACTGGAATTAAATCAATGGTGTCATTTTACCTCTCTTGGTCAAAACCACGATTTAAAATTTAAAAGCAAATTAATTCCATTCAGTCTAGTTTCCAACAAGGTATGAAGGAATGAAAAAAAATTACAGAAGTCCTCGTGTTATTGATCGAGGGACTTAAGCGCATTTTTGTGTTAGCGATCAGTATTTGATTATGTAATTATTTTGCGTTCATTTACAGATCATGAGAAGATTAGAAGATCATTAATTTTAGTGTAATTAACAAAAAGTTACAATGAATGCTTATATAGAAAGGATTATTATTTAACGGTCAATAAATAATTTGAAATTTTGCCGTTAAAAGTTGCACTACGAAAATATTAATTATAGTATAATTAAACAATTTGTTGCAATAAATTTCCATACAGAAAGGGTTTATCATTTAACGGTTTTTTTGTAATTCAAATTTTCTAAAGGTCAATAAATAATTTGAAATTTTCCCGCTATAAGTTGCACTACGAAAAAATTAATTATAGTATAATTAAATAATTTGTTGCAATGAATTTCCATACAGAAAGGATTTATCATTTAACGGTTTTTTTTAATTCAAATTTTCTAACGGTCAGTAAATAATTTGAAATTTTCCCGCTATAAGTTGCACTACGAAAAAATTAATTATAGTATAATTAAATAATTTGTTGCAATGAATTTCCATACAGAAAGGATTTATCATTTAACGATTTTTTGTAATTCAAATTTTCTAACGGTCAGTAAATAATTTGAAATTTTCCCGCTATAAGTTGCACTACGAAAAAATTAATTATAGTATAATTAAATAATTTGTTGCAATGAATTTCCATACAGAAAGGATTTATCATTTAACGATTTTTTGTAATTCAAATTTTCTAACGGTCAGTAAATAATTTGAAATTTTGCCGTTAAAAGTTGCACTACGAAAAAATTAATTATAGTATAATTAAACAATTTGTTGCAATGAATTTCCATACAGAAAGGGTTTATCATTTAACGGTTTTTTGTAATTCAAATTTTCTAACGGTCAATAAATAATTTGAAATTTTCCCGCTATAAGTTGCACTACGAAAAAATTAATTATAGTATAATTAAATAATTTGTTGCAATGAATTTCCATACAGAAAGGATTTATCATTTAACGATTTTTTGTAATTCAAATTTTCTAACGGTCAGTAAATAATTTGAAATTTTGCCGTTAAAAGTTGCACTACGAAAAAATTAATTATAGTATAATTAAACAATTTGTTGCAATGAATTTCCATACAGAAAGAGTTTATCATTTAACGGTTTCTTGTAATTCAAATTTTCTAACGGTCAATATAATAATAATTTGAAATTTTCCCGCTATAAGTTGCACTACGAAAAAATTAATTATAGTATAATTAAATAATTTGTTGCAATGAATTTTCATACAGAAAGGGTTTATCATTTAACATTTTTTTGTAATTCAAATTTTCTAACGGTCAATAAATAGTTTGAAATTTTCCCGCTATAAGTTGCACTACGAAATAATAATTATAGTATAATTAAATAATTTGTTCCAATGAATTTCCATACAAAAAAAGTTTATCATTTAACGGTTTTTTGAAATTCAAATTTTACAACGGCTAGAAATTTTTTGAAATTATAGAGGTAATATTGAAATTATAGAGGTAAAATAAAATTTGAGCAGTTTACACTGAAAACAAAACAAAAATTCATTAATTATAGCATAAATACACTGTTTTAAGATTTTTAAATGTCCGGCGGGCCAATAACTCGATATAACGGAACTAATGCAAAAAACTAGAACTCTCTACGATGTCTAGATTAAAAGTTTTTCTTAGCAGCCGACCAGCCAGCCGACCAGCCGACCAGCCGACCAAAGTGCGTTATTAAGCTACCTTTTTGAAACAAGTTTCAAAAATGCGCTAAAAAAGAAAATCTAGTTTCGTCAATGAAAACCGACCCTATGTTGACTACTTAAGCCCTGGTGCATCAAATAATATTGCTTGTATCTTTCTAAATCAACAAAACTTAGTTTAAAGAACTTCTGTGTCAAGATTCTCCTTACATCCACTTTAGCTCTTCAAGTTGTTGACCCATTGAACTACTTTCCAACATAACATAAATGATGGACAGCATTACATACCAAAAAAAAAAAAAACTTTTTTATGACTTACAGCAAACTACTCAAAACTCGTATGTACCTTTAAAGCACGCGATCTGCACCGTATAGTAAAAAATTAACCAGAACATGCCAAGAAAAACTAAAGATTAAGAAAAATACAGCCATAAAAGTTAATGGTTTATGACTGTCTGTTAAAAGCAGCTGTTATAATAAATAATAATTGTCAAAATTGTGTAAATTGATAACATTAACACCACCCGATTGCATATGGCATTGGCATTAGAACGAAAATAATTACAAACTATTGAATATAAATCACTAATCATTATGATTAACACGTTAAAATAAATGGAATTTATGGTTCGAGTTTGTATTAAGCTTGAAACTTAAAAAATGTCTGTTACAGTAAACTTTGCTGATGCATTCCTTCCGTTTACAATTTTCATAAATTATGGATAATAGAAAATGAGAAATTGTAAATTACAGTCTTTAATGATTGGCTTCACGTGGAAAACCAAAGAATTCTAGAGGTTTGGGAAATTGGCAAACATTAGCTGATATAGAGCCAGTTCTAGGCGGCATATTAGGGAGGCAATGGATCACAGTTGATCTGTAAGGTGTTGGAAGTAAGCAAATAAGTAATGATTGACTTGGAACAGTTCCTAATGAGTCTTTAAACTTGTGTCTAGAATTGCAATCTGTCACTAGCCTGTCATTGTCTGTCAACTGGCACTGCCTGTCACAAGCAGTCTCCAGTCATAGATCTGCTAAATCTGTTGACAGGTATTGCAGATCTGTGACAGGGATATGCCTGTCAAAGCAAAAAAAAACTGCTTTTCATAAGCAGTTGAATCTGTTGACAGGTAACCTGTCTCGCAACTCTGCGTATGTCTTATACCATAGCTCTTCAAACCTTTTTTCCCTTCAATCAAGGACCTACATTAGGATCGATATCCCACATTCCGCTCTGTTCAGATACCACAAAAAAAAATGTAGACAGCTTCTTCTACTCCTTCAGATGTAGTACTCAAGAAAAGTGAAATTTTTACGAATATCGCATGTTCATATTACATCGCTTTAGTAAGACTTGCTCAAATGGTATGCATTGAAGGGCGTACAGCAAAAAGGAAGGGTTAATAACAAAGTAAATTCATTCCTGTTTATTTGAGATTTTAAAGGTGAACTTGAACACTTTTCAAGACGCAATCGATATTACTTATGCACGATGAATAGAAAACTTTTTAAATAAATTTTTGAATTTGGATTCTTTCCAACCTTTACTTTTGCCAGTCTTTCTAATCTTGAAATCGATTGCGAGAAAATTCCATTCAATATTTCTTTTCGCTCGACAGCAAAGTACAGCACAATTCAATTTACTTTTAGCAATGTTATTCGCTTCTATACTCACACATTCTCGACTGTATTGGATGATAGATATTGAAAAAAAAAAGAAAATTTCAAATTTATTTCATTTTTGTTTTATAAAAAAAAAAAGTTGAATGAATCGAGAAAAAAGTTTTGACGGTGAAGTTTTGTTTCAATTTTTTTTTGTATCCACAAGCTTGATACTTTAGTATTCTTTTAATCCACTTATTCTATTTGATTTTAAATCTCTCTTTGCTCGATAATGCCTTAATTTTTATGAAACTTGTCGCAATTTCCAATTTCATGATATTCAAAGACTAGCTAGAAGTTCTCCTTCACATTTATAAGCATACCCGACAGCAATTTTTGTTGGCACAATCCAAGTATGCCTTTATCCAGACATGTCAGAACAATAGAAGCAACAGAAAAACAAAAACATTAACTCGTGTGCCCGGAATCACCGGCGAAGAGGAAATTTTAATCAAAAACATTAAAACAAAATCCCAAAAATAACTTACACGCGCACTATGGGGCAAAATGAAAAAAAAAGGGACTTTCACTTTGAAAAATGGACTTTTCCGATTTACACTTTTTGGGTGATTTTTTCTTGTAGAGGACATAAAAGTAGATAGAAATGCCAAATTTCAGGTCATTTGGTGCTGATTTCGCGATTCTAGAGCTGTTTGAAGTTGAAAACTAGTGAAAATTCTGGTTTTTTCATACCATGTTTGAACCGGGAAATATCTTAACTGGTTTAAGATATTGCAAAACGGTTTTCAGTTCCTATTAGTAGTATATAAGAGCTTTATTTTGACATATAACAAAGTTTAGGTTCTGAATGTTTTCGTGCCATTATGGTAGAACATATGTGAAAATTTCAGGAAAATTATCTTCAAACAAGCCGCAACTATCATAAATGAAGAGTTTCCAGGCAAGTAAAAACGCAGTTTTGTAGCCCCATATATCTAGTTTTCAAAACTGTATAAACTTTGAAAAAGTAAGCTAACGTAATTGAGTTATGTTGATTTTAGTAGGTCGTTGAGTATTTGGCCAAAAACTAATAATTCTTTTAAAAATACGAAAACATAGTTTTAAAAATAGTTTTTTGGTGTTTTCTTATGAAAAATAACAATTTAAATGATTTTGTG